GGGGTAAGATGGTTGGTATTTCATTGAGGTTTTGATCTGTATATCTTTTATTGCCAGTGATTTTGAGTATTTCCTCATGTACCTGTTGGCTATCTGAATGCCCTCCTCTGTGGAACAACAACAACAAAAAAGTCCATCCATGTCTCTTGCTCATTTTGCAGTAGGACTATCAGTCTTTTTCATCTGGATGTCCAGGAGTATTCTATAGATTTTTGTTATAAGAACCTTGCCTGAGATGGTATTGCCAAATGTTTGTTCCCAGTCAGTATGTTTTCTTTTCCGTGTGTTAGAAAAAGCTTTAGATGAGCACAGAGTTTTAATATTTACAAAGTCCCATTCATCAATTTTATCCTCTTCAGACTGTGCAATTCTGGCTGTATTTGGCAGTCTCTGTATACAATAAACTAGGCCGTCTAAACTTGATCTTAGTTTTTCTCTTACGTACTTTATGGTTTAGGCTTTATTCTCAGATTTCTGATCCACTTTGAGATGATGTTTGTGTATGGTGTAAAATGTGAATCCTGTTTCAGCTTTCTGCAGTTAGCAGTCCAGTTTTGCCAGCACCATTGGTTGAAGAGGTTGTCATTATCCCATTTGTTAAGTCCATCTTGATGCAGCTGAACAGCTGCAGCTGTGATAGTGAGTACGCAGGGGTGCCTGAGCAGGGGAGTTGGCAAAAATACTCTTGGAATTTATAAAGCTAAGTTGAGCCTGAGTGGAGGTTATAGTTGTGGCCACCTCAGACTCCACCTGTGTCTAGAAAATCCTGAGTCTCCATTATTGGCTCTACCTGTCTCTAGGAGCTTCCAGACATAAGCTATCCTTCACGTAGAGCTCAGAGGTGCCAGACATGTTCATGTCTGGAACTTTTGTAGTATAATTATACAGAATAAAAAGAGTAAATATTATTGAGCATACCATCAACTGCCAAGAAAGAAATAAATCTGCCTTGGAAGAATTGCAGCCAGAATGAAGACATTCTAATGGCCAATAGACACATGATGAAACACACCAAATCACTGGCAATCAGAGAGATGCAAATCAAATCTAGAATAAAACAGCATCTTACTCCAGTAGGAGCAAGCAATAATCGTTGGAGAGGATACAGAGAGGTTAGAACTTTAGTGTGCTGCTTGTGGGATTGTAAAATAGAACAATCATTTTGTAAGGTACTTTACAGTTTCCTCAAAAACTGAGCATAGTAATCTAATAAGATTCACCTATTTATTTCACGGCTGAGCTCTAGTGGCCTAGTGGTAAGAGGCTATGCTACAATCCTAAAGGCAAAGAGTTCAAATCCATCAGCTGCTTCACAGGAGAAAGATGGATAATCTCCTCACATGTGATTTAGTATTTCTGAAAACCAACTGGAGGGTCAGTGATGGGTCAGTTCTGCCTTGAAGCTACATAATAAAGAGAACAACAAAATTGAACTACTAGGAATATACCCTGGGGAAAATATTGAACTGAGACACAGAGATTTGTCAATCTTTGTTCATAGCAGCATTATTCACAATAGCAAGAATATGGAAACAGATCAACTGTCTATCAACAAACAGATTGAGAAATTGTGCTACATTCACAAAATGGAATACTATACAGTACTTAGGGATAACAATTTTGTAAAAGGCTATATAATAGTAGAGACCCACTCTTCTCATGAGACCCACTCTTCTCAGGAGACCACTCTTGGGGAACCTTACTTTTGCTCTGCTGCAAGACAACAAGGTTTGTGTGGCATGGCTGGTTCAGGAGCATCTTCCAGCCACTGCTTCCCCAGCATCTACTAAAGGCAGCATCTGGTTCCAGGCATACTCTCACCCTGACCAGGGACAGGACCATGGCCTGCTAGCTTGAGGGTCACAGTTTTAGAGGCAATCCCACCTGAAACACTAGACCATCGCACCCACTGCCTGGATATCCCACTGTGCCACAGCCTGAAGACTGCCAAGCTGCTGCCGCTGCTGTTGAGCACCAGGAGCACCAATATCACAGGTATTTGGTGAAACACTACTCTCTAGCCATGTCACATGAACATTCTTAAGTTCAAGCAGAAGAGGCCAGGTGTAGGTGAGGTTTCAGAAAAGCAACAATAATCCTGCTCTATTGCAGAATGTTGGAGAGGCAGGGAGGTCTCTGGCCAGGACGGATCGCCTAAGCTCCACATAAGTGCCAGCCTCCCGATGGCCTTTAATAAGGGGTAGAGAAAGCTCCCTGGTGTTTGGCTGTACCGGCTTGAGAAAGTTCTCCACCTGGGAAGACAGCTGCTGCGTCTGTTGAGCTGGGAGTGGTCTGCACAAGGCTGAAGTTCTCGTAACCAATCTACATGTCCCACATGTGTAAGCCCACCCTAGCCTGTCTTCCTGTGTATATAAGTGCTCTGCTTATCCCAGGAAAATTGAGCTGGATTGACTCTATGATCCTCTCCCAGAGCAGTTCATCTCCATCATGCTCAGGGTGTCATTGTAGGTTGCCAGCAAACAGACATCTATATGTGGTGCACAGGAAAGAGACGGACCTGATGTAGAATCGGATGAGAACCCTCTGTACTCACTTTCATCAAGATTTTGGGTGAGTACCCTTTGTGCTCACTCCTATCAGGTATTGGGTGAGCACCCCTTTCTGTGCTCACTCCCATCAGTGAAGGCCTGATGTAATTTCTGGGCATGACCTGAGCTGATGTAGTTTTGGAGGCCTGGCATAGTAGTCTTAAAATTTGACGTAGGTGGAAGGGAAGAGAATCCTTAAGACATGCCTCATTAGACTCTAGGTTCTTAATGTACAGTATGGATAAAAAAAGGGCTTGAAGATTTCAGAACCAATGACTAGCTCCTCAGCTCCCTGGATATATTCTTTTATTATGACCACTGTAGTGTTGCTATGGAGATTAAGGGGTACAGTTTGGTAAGTCTATGTGAAGAGGTAGATTAGGCCTTGTCCATGTCTTCTCCTCTCTTCTTTTCTCTGACTCCACTGATTGGACACCAGGAACCATAGGTTCTGTCTAACCTGAACCACATATCGGTGGTGGAAGAGTAAAGAGCAGGGAGTCCAGGAGGCAGTAGGTGGATCTGTGATCCTGGATAAGTTCTGGGGGTTGCTACATTGTGGAAAGCACCTTCTCTCTGTGCTCTATGTTGTCATTCCACTCTACAGCTAACATTAGAGCTGAGGCCACTTAGCTCTAAGAAGAAGACCTATATGTGAACATGGCTGAGGCCATGCAGATTGTAAAAGGTCTTTTGATTGAATCCATCTTTGCCAAGTGAATAACCTGTGATTTTAGGTACCATCATCTAGTGCTTCAATGCCAGACCCCTTGAATGTTTTGGAGTCACTGATGGAATCAATTTTACTGCTAAGAACATAATTTTGTTAGCCTTTTGTGTTTTAAAGTTGTATAGAATATATTATTAGATACTGTCCACATTAATGTGTTTCCACCCATATAGAAGGAGCTTTGTCCTTTCCATTTCACCAGAGAGTCATTTGAGATCTGAGGAATCTCCATCACACACTGATGTGCCCAAATCACTGTAAGGAAAATTTCCTATAGCATCATGCTTGTCCCAACCTTGTCAGAGGCTGTTCTCAAGACTTATCTACCACACATGGATAACAAGAGAACTCATAGAATAATCTGTCTCTTTCCAAACTACAGCATTTTGATTTGTCCTGAACTTTATTGATGTCCCCTTAGATTCTTGAATTAAGGAATACCTGTTATGGATTCCACTGACAATCTCATAGATATACCTATGAAATGAAGAGCTGAGTTGATGAGCGTTTGCTCACTGGGGCCTAAGGGATAGCATGATGAGCAAAATAAAGTGAATCCAACTCCCAGGGATACCATGCTTGAGCACAGAGACGCTACTGCATCCCCCAAGATATAATTAATGTTTGTGATCCCATAGATGACAGTGGACACTAGCATCCTTCTGTGATGTACCCAGAAGCTCTCATCTCTGAGATCAGGAGGAAAGAAAGCAGAGACAACCTGTAACTCTGCCGTCCTGTGCAGACTAAGTGAGACTCCTGGTTCAGGACAGAGAGATGGGGAGGTGCCCAGGTGATGAATGGCCTCATGAGTAGAAAAGGCAGTCAATTTCCTTTTTCTATATAAAACTAATGGAGTCAGGTGGTGTAGCCCTTAAGAATTATCCTGTAACCCAAGTGTGGAGCCTCCCAAGTAGTTTGAATTCACCAGCTGCTCTGGGACAGGAAGATGGGTCATCTCTTCCTTTTAATTTTTGGCCACAGAAAACTTACTCAAGATCAGCCACGTGTCAAGTCCAAATTAAGGATGATAAGACTGGATCCATTAAACGAAAATGTTTGTTGTTGTTGTTTACCATTTACTTAGAACCGACCCATAGCTGACCGTCCAGTGGGTTTTCCGAGGTAGTTAATCACATAGGAAGAGATTGTCCATCTTTTTCTCAAAACGAAGTAGTGGAACTTTTTATTCACTCATCCAAATTAGAATCCCTTTTTATATATTTCTTTTAAACACACTAGAAGTAAAGTTGATAAACTATTATGACAATTCTAACTCTGAAAATTGTTTCAAGGCATCCCTTCCTCCTCTTTTGCAAATATTTTCTTCAAGACAATGTCCCGCTTTGTTTTTCAGTGTGCCATGTCTTGTATGTCTAGGCCACAGCCAGCAGAGGGCGCTGTGTCCTATCCCTGAGTGTCTGTGTCCTTTTGCAGCTGAGAGCCACCCACCACCCTCTCCTCTGATGCCTTCTGCCTGATGCTCACTGGGTTTCAGATTTGTGACATCACAGGCCTCTTGTAAACACAGATTACCTCTACCTCCAAACCCAACCCCTCCCTGGATAAGTTTTCTGTGGTGATGTTTTAGCAAATGAAGGGAGGTCATTGTTTTGCATAAAGAGGCCTCCTCTCTGCTATTGGGGAAAAAAAAGAGGACCTTGGGGAGCTCAGGCCCAGCTGAGGTTTACAGAATGAAGAGTCTTGTGGGTTCTAACAATATGGCCTGGGATTCTCTCCTTCTCACCCTCCTTATTTACTGCTCAGGTGTGTGCAGACTGGCAACTAGAGGAGGGGATGGAAAGACCAGAGAACTGTCTTTTACTCTGAATCTACCTACCTATCTCACCTCCTGTCTCTCTTGACTTTCAGGGTCTTTGGCTCAGTCTGTCCTCACTCAGCCATCTGTAACGTCCAAGTCTGTTGGGGAAACAGTCACAATCTCCTGCACTGGAAGCAGCACTAATGTTGGATGTGGATATCCATACTGGTTATAGCAGCTCTCTGGTAGTGCTCCAAGAACACTTATCTACAATGCTGATAAGAGACCATCCGGGATCCCAGACCGATTCTCAGGCTCCAGGTCAGGGAACACAGCCTACCTGAGCATCTCTGAGCTCCACACTGACGATGAGGGTGATTATTTCTGCACATCCTGGGACAACAACATTAATGCTTACACAGTGCTCCAGGTCAGTGGGGAAGTGAGACAAAGACATTCTGCACACAACAGTGGGTCTTCTCTGTGCATCTTCAGTCAGGACACCTGTTCCTCCTTGTTTGACTCAAAGCTAACATTCAAGATCAACTCAAGAAATTTATTTCTGTTACCATATTCCACCTCCAAATTATATCCTTTGCAACAACATGTAGTCTGGTATTTTGAAATGGAAAGAGAATCCTGTAACCTTGGATTTGACTTCCCAAGGAAATCTACAACATAATAAGATGAAAGCCAACAATACACAGTTTTTCAAAAAACCAACTGTTTCAGAGGTCCATCCAGTCATATCACTTAGTGATTCTCAAGTATATGTTTATCAATACTTTAGATACTCAAATCCAGTGTACATAAGCGAGGAGGAAAAACATCTTAGACTTCACAATGGAATGAAAGGAGTAAGAAGGGAGAAAATATGTAAAATGTACAAACACCAATAAAAATGTGAATAAGACATTATGGTAAATATTTTGTTTTAGGTACCATTGAGTTTGAGTGTGGTGCATGGTGACCCTATGAACAACATATCTGAACCCTGTCCTATTTTGTGCCATACTCACACTTTTTGACACATTAGAGCTCATTGCAGCAGTAATTGTGTTGTTCCATTCTATTAATGATCTTCCTCTCCTTTGCTGACCCCCTTTCTTTCTGAATGTCAAGTCCCTGTCCAAGGAACATATCCTCCTAGCTATATATCCAATATACAAGTATGTTTATCTTAGGAACATACCTGAAGCATGGGCATTCCCATAGGCATGATTATCATATCAGGAGGAATTTTCCTAATCCATCCTGTGAATTTCCAGCACAGAAGATATTTTGATAACTTAGCACCCGTCTTTAAGAATGATCTATGCTCCTATGCTCTCTTCCAGAATAGTGGATGTCTGCATTTCCATTGCTCTCATGGTAAGTGATCCTCTAGATTGTAAAATGTTTTTACAGGCAACAAGAAATGTATGATTTTATGCATGGTCTTGTGTAGTTGCCATCACTCAGTAATCTCTTAATAATATTTAGATTCTAGAATATGATGTCTTCAGGTACAATCAGAATGCACTCACAATGTAAATGCTTCATCTGCTATCAACAGTCATGGGGAAAAAAATTGTGAGCTACACTCCCGTAGCAAGACACTGATTTTTCCCTAAAACAAATAAGACTTGATTCTGAAATCTTGGGATTTCACATGTACACTTGGGCCTCACCAGACTTTCATACTCTCCCCAAATCATCTCCTGTAGAGGATGGTCAGGTTACATGTGCTTCTTTTGTATTTTTAAATCCAACCTAACATCTCACATGCAGGATTGTACAAATGTCCTGTCATACTGCATTCCTGATACTTGAGGGAGGATTGTCCATGTCCTACACAGCGTGAAGCTTTGCACGTGTAGGAAAAATGCCCGGTGTAATCATTCCCTCTGTTCAAATCATGTGTGGACCCTAGCACAGGAGGTAACTGTCCCCTCTGGAAGGCTATTATTTCCAGAAATTTGGAGTGTTCAGCAAAGATGAAATGAGGAATCAAGTAAAGATTTCATAGGTGGTGGACACTCACAACCAACCCTCCACCTGCCAGCTACCATGTTGCCTTGTTTCCTTTCACAGGTGGAAAGTGATTTATGCCCCCACCCCACCCATATGTCTGCTCTCCAGACAGGGGAGGGCCCTCCAGAGAGACAGCCCTCTCACTTGGATGGTGGAATGCCTACCACCACCCTCTACTTCTTGCCCATATTGGCCTGTTTCCATTTACAGATGAGTGATTATGCACCCCTGCCAGCAAGCAGAGAGAAGAGGACAAAAAAATGAAGAGATTACCAATATGCAAAATCCTGTCCGTATATCACCAGCAACTAGTGCAAGATGACGTCAAGGAGCTGCCACTGAGTTGTCTCATAGAGTAGAGAAGAGAGGTCCTATTGCCTTGAACACTGCTGTCTAGCTATATCACATGGGAATTTCTTAAACTCAAGTGGAACAGTTCAGGTAGAGCCATGGCTTCTGGAAGGTAATAGGCATCCCTATTCAGGAAGACAGAGGGAAGCTGCAATATACAATTTCTCCACAAAACATTGCCATACCCTGGGTGATTATATACTTACAACAACCTAACATCTGCTAAGAAATACTCACATAATGTGAAGAAAGCAGCAGTTTGCCTCTATCTTCATGGCAAAACAAAATAACACTGCTCTTAAAAAAGCCAACCCAATGAATACCGGAGATAGAGAAAACCAGAAGAAATATGCTGACATGTAGTTGTTTGACAGCTACAGAAGAAGATGCAAATGATGGAAAAAAACAGGGAAGACATTAAGATAGCAAATACCCTGGAGATAGCGATCCACAAGAAATATTTTGAAAGGAGTAACTTGAACAGCTACAGAGAAATAAAACCACACAAGAAATGGAAGTAAAAAATTGATAGTACAGATAAAGAGGTACAAAAACTTAAAAAAAGCATCAACAAGACAGAGAGGTTAACAGCCAACACAGTACCGGAAATAGCAAAAATGCATGGAAAAGAAATCCAAAATATTAACACAGAAATGGCAGAAGTGTCCAACTTGCTGATTGGACAAAAAATTAGAATTGAAGAGGTGAAACAGAGAGTCAGTGAGCTGGAAAACAAAGCATCACTGGAAACTAGCAGAAAAATCAGAGATGAGATGTAAAGAAAATGAAGAAAGCATTGTCATCATGTGGGATGTCATCAAAAGGAACAAGAAATGTTTCATTGAAATTCAAGAGCATAGGAGTGACAGGGAAAAGAAAATCATGGTAGAAGTACTAGAAGAAAACTTCCCAGGAATTATGAAGAATAGGGGAAACTACATTCAAGAAGCACAGTGAACACCATAAACACAAGACCCAAAAAGAAAAACATCAACACATAGCATGGTAAAATTCTGCAAGTTTAAAGAGAATCAAAATAATACTAAATGTAGTGTGACAGAAACAAGTCACCTACAAATAGGAAACAATTAGATAGTGCTTTCTCAGCATAAGAAACCATGAGAGCTAAAATATGATGGCATATAGAGAAAGTCGGAAGAAAACAATTGCCAGCCAAGGAGACATTACCCAGCAAATCTTGCCATCAAATATGAAGGAGAAATTAAATCCTTTGCAGAAAAGAGGGAACTTAAGGTATTTGTGGAAACAAGACCAAAACTACAAGAAATTTCAAGTGAAGTCATTGAACAGAAGATGCCAAGGACAAATAGATGGATCATAGAAACCAGAAACAATAGATTAAGAACAAAGCCAAATGGCAACTGTAAAACCTGGCCTGACAATAACCACACTTAAAGTGAATGGACAAAATGCACCAATTAAGAGGAAAAAGAGGAGATGATGGATAAAAACCCAAAGCCTATTGATATGTTGCCTACGAGAGACACATCTAACTAATGGAGAGAAAGACAGACTCATAATCAAATGCTGTGGGGGTGGGAACTATAGCAAGCAAATGACAACCTCAAAAAAGCAGGAGTGGTAATACTAATAATTTCTGATAAAAATAGACATCAGAATGAAAACCACCATAAAGATAAGGAAGGACTTTACAAACTGATTACAGGCACAATAGATTAAGAAGGCATAAACGTAGTCAATATTTATGCATAATTATGTTGTTGTTGTTACTTATGTTGTTGTTATTGATATGTGCTGTCAAGTCACCTGTGACCCATAGTGACTTGATGTACAACAGCTCTAAACCCTGCCTTGTCCGGAGCCAGTCTCACTAATTTTGACACACAAACCGCCATTGCCACAATTACTGTATCAATCCATCTCACCCAAGGTCATCCTTTCCTGTGCTGTCACCCTTCCAAGCATGATGTGGCTTATCGTGGCCATATGTCCAAAGTATGTGTGATAGAGCTTCAAAATGCTGGCCTTCAAGGAAAAACTTTGTTTCGCCTCCTCAAAGCAAACTTATTTGTTGCCTTGTGGTCCATGGTGTGTTCAAGACTCTTCTTTAGCAAAATTTGGAGGCATTAATTCTTCTTCTGTCATCTTTAGTCATTGTCCAGCTCTCTGACGCATAGCCAAGTAATTGCCAAGACCATGGCCTGGAGCAGGCACACATTAGTCTCTAGACTGACATTATTGCTTTTCAGGACTCTGGAGAAGTCCTGGACAGCAGATTTTCCTAACACACTTCATCTTTTGATTTCCTGACTGCTGGTGTTAAGTGTGTTGGTTATGGAGCAGCACAAGCTGTAATTGTTAACAACCTTAATGCTTTCTCTACCTATCGTGGTGTTGCCAATTGGCCCAGTGGAATTTTTGTCTTCTTGATGTTGTGTTTTAATCCATATTGAAGACTACAGTCCTTGACCTTCTACAGCAAGTGCTTCAAGTCTTCTTCAGTTTCAGCAAACAAATTTGGGTCATCTGCATAATATAGGTTGTTGATGAATTTTCCACCAAACCTGATGCCACTTCCTCCTCATAAAGCCCTCCTTCCTGAATGATCCATTCTGCATATATACTTTTGAAAAGGTAAAAAGACAGGATAAACTACTGACACATTGACTATGACTCATAGGCATTCTATAAGTAACGGATCCAAACCCTGCCCTGTCCTGTATCATCTTTTTCATCTCTCCCACAGCTGAGTCCATTGATACAGTCTTTATGTCAGTCCATGTCATTAAGGGACTTTCTCTTTTACACAGATCCTGTATTTTTCCCATCACGATGTCCCTTTACAAATCCGAGCCTAACTATTGTACAGAAGAATGCTATAAAATATATGCTATCCTAGTTCCATATTGCAAAGCCTTGAGAGTGCAAACAGTGTGTGATTGAATTTTAACCTGGAAGTAGGTTTTTGGAACCCACCAGCTACTTCCTGGAAGAAATGCCTAGTCAATTACTTTTGTAAAAGTGAAATAATGTTTTCCATTGCTGTCAGCTCTATTCTAAGTTATGGTGAAAACATATGTGCAG